GCCGCCACTCCCTCTGCACTCTGTCGCTACTTGCCGTTGCGACCTTGTCCCCACTTCCGTCTGTCGCCATCAAGCTTCGGCTCACCTCCCAGGTAAGTGACGGTAAATCTGTTCTCCTCCTCTGGCTATATAAACCCCATCTAGTGGGGGTCTTTAGGGTTGGCCGAAATTTTAAGGAGAGGGGAGGTGCTGCCATAATTTTGGGAAAGTCATTGGAATTGCGTTGGTGGAGCTTCACTAGTTGGTCTGTTCTCTGTGTGCTTGGGCATTTTTGAGCTCTGTTGGTTTTGGGTAAATCTGGAGGGAGGTAACACTCTTCTTTTCCTCCTAAATCTCTCACTCTCCTAAATCTGTCACGCATTTTAAATTTCTTGAAAGCCCTAAGTGTATTTTGGTAGTGAATTCATTCTGATTTTGGATGTGAGGCGTGTAGGCCCTCTTTCACCTAGGCTACTGTAGCTTTTGCCATTTTGTATGCTGCTTGGGGCCTTGGGGTTTCATTGTTTTAGCTTTACAAATATAACACTTTAAAACTTGTTACTTGCAAAACTTTCATTCAGTTTCTTGGTGCTTTGCTCTTTTAAAAATCTGACATAGTTTTATTTGTTATTTGCAACGGGTGAGAAGTTGTAGTACCTTGGTTTTAAAATCTGAAAGTTTTGGGTGGTCTATTTGTAAAAATCTGAGGCATTGGGTATTGCAGTTTGTCAAGCAACTATATGCATCTGTAGCATTCCTTTTCAATCTTTGGGTGGATGGAATGTTGAACAAGCGAAAGGAATGGAATAATTTTATGTTTTCTAACATAAATTTTAATGGCATATCAAGTTTATTATTGTTCACATAACTTCCGATTTTCTTTTTTTGATTTTCATAGCTAGTATGTAAAAGTGTACTATTTCCCACTTGTCTGAGCTGCTGCTAGCTTTTCTAGCCTTGCAAGATTGTTGCACATGGGGGCATTTACATACATACCACTCGAATTCTTATGCATTTACATAACTAGCACCCAACACAAAATGTAGAAGGGCAATTGGCCTTACTGCTTATGAATATCTTTGGCTATCTCTTATATGTTTATATTTGTGAAATTTGAAAACCGTGTGAGCCGTTCCTTTTATATATATATATATATATATAAGCTTGGGATTCTCGTCGGTTGCTTTGAGCTGCATGACCTTGTTGCGTTGAAGAAGTTTAAAGCTCAATTTGATTCGATTGTTATTACAAATGTTATTTTCAGGTCCTACCGGCTTGCGGTTTGGTGAGGGTAAAAATGCCGTTCTTTTCAATCCTATTATCGCGACGTTTTGGGACTGTCTTACAACTTATTTGGCTACGGTTTTAAGCACCGTTTTTGGAATATTTTAACGCTACTTTTAAGGGATGGTTAAGTACAGATTTTGAACCTTATGAATTACTGTTTGGGGCGCCTTCTTTACTGTTTTGTGCACCACTTTAGTGCTGTTTTTGGAGGGGTTTCGAGGCTGTCCTTGCTCGACTTCCTCATCGATTTGGGCACCGTTTTGAGGCATTTCGGTGGGCTGATTTGAAGTAACCGATTAGTGATTTGAAGGCTTTCTCGTGTATTCTTTGGGAGACTTGAAAATATGTTTTGAGGGCTTTTGGAAAGTGAAAACGCCGCTTTTAGGAGGGCTTAAAATGTTGTTTCATTCGGGAAAGTTCGAAATCGCAGTGGATTGGATTTATGAAAGTTTGGGAAGCTTTTTGAGCATCGTTTTGGGAAGTTTAAAAGATGGCTTTCTTTTATATATTGGGATTGGTCTCGTTTCCTCTTCTCTCCTCTTCTCTCTCTCTCTCTCTCTCTAACCTTTACGTGAGAGTTGTTGGTGCCTTATGCTGATTTTGGAGGGGAGCTTAGGCGGTGTTCTTTGTAGTGTAAGAACATTGGAAGTTCCAATTGAGTTTTCTCAAATTCATGTTGTTGGAGGATGTAAATCGTTTTAAATGCAGTTTTTAGGGCCGATCCACTCTTCACTTCTTTGATCTTTCAAATGAATCAGTCCCTCCTCTTTCTCACCCCCTTTTTCTTCTTTTCTTTTCTTGCTTCTTGATTGGATTTATACACTTATGTACGAAGCATAAGTTTGCACATATAGTCTTTTGCTACATTTGGACCATCAAGCAAGGCTGTAAGCAGGTCAGTTTCGAGGTTCCAGGACAACGATGAAAAATGCATCTAGGTATGTGTGAGAGGTCCTAGTACAATCCTGACTCAGTGACTTTGAGAGAATAAGTGATTGACATTACCGTATTTTTAACACTTAGTAAAGAGTTACCACTTGATTTTACAGATAGTGGGAAGTTCCAGCCTACCAATATGACTGACTCATTAACTTTCTAAAGTATGAGATTTTTTTAAGTGATATATATTACACACATAATCAATTAAAAAAAACGATCTTTCAAGTGCATGACAAATCAAAATTGCTTTTGAAAAATGAAATCTTTCCTAAATATTTTCTGAAAATTGCACGGGTCAGCCATATGAACTAGGTTAGGGATTACTCTTTTCTGTGACTGTTAGGCCGGTGACCTTTTAATTAGTGTTGGATCACACATGCATGATGTTGACTATTTTGTTTGGGCCCCAGGGTCTTAATTTTAACCCAAGGTTCTGATTCTAAGTTCATCATGTTTCGAGTGTTTACGGTTTTCTTTGGTGTCTTGTGCATTTTCTATTTTCTTTGAGCTTTCGTGGGTTGCTTCCAGTTTTTCTTCAAGTTTTTCGTGAGATACTTCACCGATAGACTTTTAAACGTCTATACATGCATGCTTACCTTGCTAATCAAATCCTCTTCTATACTTGTTTATTTCTACCTGCAACGCTAATCCCATTTGCAGGAGTAGCAGATTCGTCTGGTGCACCGGTTTATTTTATATTTACAACATTTTATTTTCTTTCCTGTACATTCTAATGTTTTCCTTTATTGTACATTTTACTGCATTTTCTTTACTGTAGCTTTCCTTACTGCGTTTTTTCCTTTTTTGGTTTATTGCACCTCTCACTGTTTCCTTTATGTATTATACCCTTAGAATAGGAGGCCGGTAGTACGGTTTTATAGGAGGTACCCAGCAGCAGATCACCTACTCAACAATTGCATGTACATTTAAACATAAACTAAACCTGAAGTTGCTACGACGTGGAGCTTTGACTTAACACCGTGGGCAGCACGACGATGATGTACAGAAGAACAACTTCGAGAGAGTCTACAACAACAAAACCTTTTCTTAGAATTAAACAACAAACTATAGGACTTCGAGGTAGTCTGCCTAACGCGACATAAATTCTCATTTTATCTTTTAGGTCTTTGCACAGCCATGTTGTGCAATTTAAGACCTAACTCACTTTAGGTCAGGGGGTTGTCATCCGATACGACGTAAACATTCATATTTTTCAAGTCATTTGTATGACTGTGTCACACAAATATAAGTCCTAAATAATAAAATTGTTAAGATGAAACATCAAATAATATCTTCTCGAAATTGAAGCCAAACAATAGGGTAGTTTGGGTAGTCACCGAGGTTCTCCTCAAGATCTATAACATCTTCTACTTTTCTTTTCTTTTATTCCAGAAATAAATGTTTCCATTTGGTTTTTTTCCCACTTGACTTTTCTATGTCCTAAACTTTGAATTCATGAAGATTGATACTTCTGATCATCATCGAGAGTTCTTTTAAGTGATTTCAGTCATTTGAGAGGTAATTAATTATAGGGGCTTGCCTCTTTAGAGAGCTTTAAGAACCCATGTAATATAAACCCTATCTAATTTTTAATATTAGGTAGAGGAACTTGTCGATCAATATAAATGTTCGCAGACCAAAACTCAAAACGAATGCCATAAATTCTTTAGTTTATTTAATCGAGTCTTACGGATAAGTGATATGTCTATTTCTCGGGATAGGTATATCACTTGCAGTGTTGTGCTCGTTTATTCCAATTTGATGGCCGACACCCTTTTATTCTTTATTTCCTTCGACCAAGCCTTTTGTTTCTCTCTTTCTTGTTCTCTGTCTGCACTAACCAGATCTAATAATTTTTTATTTTTAAAGCACGGGCTTTTACACTCTTAATGGGTTTGCAAGCCTTTATTGATTTTAGGGGACTTCATTAATCATTTTTCCGATAAAAGCTTGCGGTACTTAGCTTAGCCACACGGAGTTGCTATTTGGGTATGCTAGTCTTTGTTGGCTAAATCTGGAGGCTTGTAGGACCTGGTTAACAAATAATTACCCCATTATGCTATTTTAGATTATAATGTTTTTTTATCTATTAAAAATTCACTATGATTTTCATTGCAATATCTTGTACTTGATTGCTCCTTAGCTTTGATTTCTGGTTTACTTTTCTCATCTGTAGCACTTTTTTTAATTATGAATTTAGTTTCTGTTTTCTTTTTTTAATTTTGGCATTTTTTTTTTTTTGTAGAAGACTTAGAAGTAATGCCATTACTAATAACCATGTTGAGGAAAAAATATTTACGCACATCATACGCACACAGTTCTGTGTGTGTCCTCCAGTTATTTGGGGGGTATTGAAGGGTTATGTCGGTGTTATTGGGGGTTAACCTCACAAAACCCCCAAATGACAGCAATATTGAGGAGCATTTAGGCCCGAACATAGGCTACATTGAGCTGAATCATATAAAAATCTGTTTTCTCCTGATTTTATTTTTGCACTTAATTTTCTGTATCATATCTTGTAATATTCTGTAGCTGTAATTTTAGGTAGCTTGCGATTTAAGTTCGATTCTGCTGATATTTTTAATAGATTTATTTTTTGGTGAATTAATTTGTAAAGTGCATAATTAGCCCCTCTTATACCTTCAATGGGTGAACTTATTACTTGTTTTTTTTTTATCTTTTTGTATTTTTTTTTCACTGCATGTGTTGTTGCGAGTTGAATGCTGGTGGCTGCTAACTTTTTATTTTCCTTTACTATTTTTTTCTCTTTCTAAAATAGTTTGGTTGTTTTTTAGCTGATCGGTGGGGGGAATGAGTATGATTTTAGGTCTGTGAAGCGCTGGACCGCACCTAGTAAACTGGGTTATTCCCTCATTGACTGTGACAGAGTAAAAGCTACATTACTCTTGTTTGACATGATTTCTTTATAAAATTTGCATGTTCCTTTATCGTGGTGATATGTGTATTTGCAAAAATTTGCAGGTCTTTGTTCCCATACACAAGGATAGACATTGGTGTTTAGCAGTTGTCAATATCAAAGATGAAACTTTCCAGTATCTTGACTCCTTGGGTGGCATGGATACTTACGTTCTAGAAGTGCTGGTATCATATACCTTTTTTATGCTGTCAACTTAATGGAAGTTATTTGGAGCCTTTATGTTTTTCTTATTTTTGTTTTCAAGCTTTCTGTGGAAATATGTATGTTCCTGCTTTTTTTTGGATGATGACGTGCATGCATTTTTTTTTCTTATTTAACACTTACAGAACCAGGTAATAAGGGCTCGAGTTCCTATGATAAAAATGGATTCGTTGTTTCTTAATTGAATTGTTTGAATAGTATATATAAATAGTCTAGATTATGAGATTATATAGTTTTATTTAATATTTTGACCCACAGTTTACTGTAAAGACGAATGAAAAACAACATGCTGAGCAAACGTGTATACACCTAGCTATGTAGTGCACACAAATTTGATATGTATGGGCATGTGTGCAGCACACAAAAATATACCAACATGCATGCTTAAATAAATGGACAACAACAACAGCAAGAACAAGCCTTTATCCCACTAAGTGGGGATGGCTACATGAAACTTTTTTCTTTATTGCGTCTATTGAGTGTCATATTTTCATTTAATTCTAATAAATTAAGGTCTTTTTTTATACAATATACCCAAGTCTTATTAGGTCTACCACTGTCTTTCTTAATATAAGTTGAATCTAAAACATTTACTATCCTAATTGGATCATCAAATGGACAACATTTAATGTGACAAAACCATCTAGAATGACTCTCTAATCTTGTCTGCCACTGGAGCTACAACGAATTCATTTTTATCTTCCTATGAATCATTATATCTATTAATTTCAATAATTTATTTGTGAGGGTACCAATATTTAAAGATATTATTCTAATATTAGTTTCATAGACTGATTTCTTTGCCCGCATTCGTCAATGTGAGAACCCTTGCTTATTTTAAATTGCACCTAGGCACTTGTGTAGTGAGTCTTGCATACTTGTCACTATATTCAAGTACAACGTGTCACTTCCAAAGGACACCATGTCATTTGCACAATGATTTAAAAGATTCTTGTCATGATTTTAGACATTTTTTATGTTGGGTGTCGACTCCTAATGCAGCCTTCTACTTTTTTCATCTAAGACTTACATAAATAGACTGATATTGATATATTTAATATTCAACGTTTATATATCTACATTGATGCATGTTGTATTGGCACTTAGGAGTATTTGAGCCGGAAAATCTGTCTTCTTAGGGCTATGAAGAAGGTTTTTTTTCCTACTTAATTAGGATTTCCTTTAAGGAGAGTCGAGTTCAACATTAAGCTCATATGATTGTTTCATTTTATTTTTAATGTTGGAAATCTATGATGCGTGGACACTTCTACTTAAGAAGCCGTGCAGTGTCAAACATGTATCGAGCGCGAATACAAATCTTAACACGTGCGAACACAACATAAAAGTGTCTGATTTAAGTAACATAGGGTACGTTTGGGGCGGCTTATAAGTGCAACAACGTTTTTGAAGACGCCGCCTAACCATTTGGTTTGTGTGTTTTTGAAAACGTTGTCTGCCGCGTTTGGGTTTTTTATACTAAACGCAGGCCGCGGGTCAACCCCTGCGATCTACCTGCGGGTCGCGTTTCAGGATAAACTGTTTATCCTGAAAGGCACAAGCTGCTCCAAACAGACTCTTATTGCTCTTCCCATTTATTCTATATGCCATTCAATCATTTATCAGTTTCATTTTGTATATTATCAAGCATTTTAGTGACACTATAGCTCACTATATGATCATTAGGCATACATCATCAAACTCTATTATATTAGCATATTTGTATTTATGCATCATTATAATCTCATTAGGCATACATCATCAAGCCCGATCATTCTAACTATTTATATTGATGTAGCTTGCTATAAACGATCATAACATCTCTAAAGTAAAACATTACTTGCAAAAGTGCTTCGGCCAAAGTAAATCCAACTGAAATAAGAAAATATTTGGCCAATCCTCCTGTTCGAACACAAGTAACAGCTCTAGTATACATATCTTTAATGACTTGAATCTAAGCTGGGTTAGGAAAAACTCCCTATAAGGGCAAGCCCCTATAGTAATTACATCTTAAATGACCGAAATCACTTAAGAATACTCTCGATAAAAATCAGGAAAAATTATCTTCAAGGACTTCAAAAGGATAGGACTTTTCAACGAAATTGGACAAAGAGGTGTGCAAAAGGGAATGGTTCAAACTTGGGACATTTATTAAAGGATCCAAAGGAAAAAAGAACTAGGGGATGCCACAGATCCAGAGGAGATTCACGGTGGCTTTCCAGTCTACCCTATGGTTTGGCTTTAGTTTCAAGGAGGAATATTCAAGTGTTTTATCCTGCCAATTTTATTTAATTAGGGCTTACATTCATGTGAAACACTCACATAAATAGCCTGGAAGATGTGATGATTTATGTCGTAAAGGATGACAAACTCTGAATCCAAAATGCTTGAACAGTCTCACTACAACGATATAGTAGTATTTTCTAAATTATAGCGCTACACTATTCGTTGAGTGCAACAGTCTCATTATCTACAAACTTTCTTTTTTTATTAAGTATATCCTTCATGAACTTCACATAGCTTGACATTTGTTCAAATGCTTGAACAAATGGAATTTTTACCGTTAATTTCCTCAAAACTTCCAAAAATTTTGAAAATTGATAATCTCTATGTTTCTGCTTCAATCTTCGAGGAAATGGAGGTGTTGGTCTTTCTACAACGATTTTCATTGGTTTAATAGGACTTTCTACTTCATATGACATGCTATATAGAGTGGTGACAAACACAGTAAAAGGAATAGTATAACATCCTTTACAGAACAATAACAAGTAGAAACATGAATAATTTAACATGCTGTACATAACAGTAGCAGATATAGTAGAAAGAACAGTATAACATGTTGTACAGGGTAGTGGCAGGTATAAACAAGAATAGTATAACATTCTGTAAATGTAAAACGAATTTGTACGCCCGTGGGATCCGTTGTTTCTTAAATGTAGCAAGCTGAAATGTATTGCAAAAAAGCGTAGTCTAGAAGAAAAGCCATCCAGAAAATCCGAAGAATAGTGTAACGACGACTCATGACCGAAAACTCGAGAACATCAACGAGAAAAGACTCGAGTAAACATCTTCAAAAATCTCGGAGAAATCTTGAAGAAAAGAAAAGAAACACGAGTGCTTTGTCCAAAGCTTCGATAAAACAAAAAGTTCAGGTAAGGGGGACCGCAAGCACTTATGTAGGGCTAGGTTCAGATATATATGTGTGTACTCGAGGGTCCACGAAGGCTACTCGGTCACCCGAACGTATAGAACCCGTCACTCGTCTAGAAGTGTGTCTTGAACCTCACCTAGAGGGCTACTTCCCAGCCTAAACAGGTATTCGTCAGATGGACAATCGATTTTTAAAAATGTATTTTTAAAATTTATGTTTTTGACATGCACATAGGTTTTCAAAAAAAAAAGATTATCAAATTTTATTTTATAGCGAAGAATATTTTTTTTATTTTTTTGAAATAAGTTAACAAATTTTTTTTTATTGTCCACAAGTCGATTACGCTGTCGAGCGTGAGACTGCCAACTATCTAAGGATGTTTGAGCCAACTCCTGCTAGACTTATGTCGTTGAAGGATACCGTTATCCTATTGTTCATCAAATACTTGGATTTTGATGTTATAGGATAGGACATCTTTCTGTTCTATCTTCGGTGTGCCTTTATCATCACCACCCTACGCCCCAAAATAAACTACTTGCGACCTTGCTTGATGGTTTCACGTATAGCAAAAGATTATACGTGGACACTTATGCGTCGGACATAAACATCGAAAAACTGAACCAAGAAACAAGGAAAGAAAAGAACAAAAATGGGGTGAGAGAGAGGAGACACTGATCCATCTAAAACACCGAAAAAGAGAATAGATCAGTTCTCAAAACTCCTTTTTCCTAAAACATAAAAGGTCACTTTGCGCTAATTTTCCAAACCCCAAAAACGTAGGATTAATCAAATCAATCAAATGTTCTCCCAAATAAAGCTTGCAAATCTTCCCAAACCCCAAGTTGATATCAAAATCTCCCAACTCCCAAATTAATCCATATTCTCAATGCACTGAGGTGTAAGACCCACGGCCTGTATCAGTAGAGAAAGGAAACCAAATAAATTCTCACGACCGGGGTTACTACAAAGAGATGAACAGCAGGTAAGGCTCTCGGCCAGGGCAACAAAAAGAAAAGGGAGGAGCTATTAAAGCTCACGGCTAAAGAAACCCAAGGCAAAAAGAGGCGCAACAGCAGGTAAGGCTCTCGGCCAAGGCAACAAAAAGGAAAGGGGGAAGGTATTAAAGCTCACGGCTAAGGGCGGTAAGGGACAGCTGCTAAGGCCCACGAGCAAAGGCAACCCCAGGCACAAGTAAGGCTCACGGCTAAAGGCAGCAAGAGACAGCTGCTAAAACCCACGACCAAAGGCAACCCAAGGCACAAATAAGGCTCACGGCTAAAGCAACCCAAGGCCAAAAGAGGTTCACAGCCAAGGCAAACCCAAACCGATTATATGAAGATATTTGATATACATAGGAGAGTGAATGGACAAACCCTCACAAAGCCTCCAAACCGACTCCAAAGCATTGTAAGCAAGGCCCACAGCCAAGACCAAAGCCAAGACACGAGGCAAGGGAAAGGGAAGGCTTACGGACTAGGCTGAGTCCAAGGCATAAGGCAAAGTCCACGACCAAAGCAAAAGCTAAGTTTCAATAAACTCAACACCCAAATCTTCCCAAAATAAGAAACTGAGCCCACTCACCAAACCAGCTCTCGGGTAAGGTCCAGAAAAGGCAAAACCAAACCAAGCCAAACTCTCGGGTAGGGCTAAGAACAAGTAAAACCACGCCCTGCACCAACTTTAAATCATTTGGGGATAAACTCACACATATATTGGACTTGGAGTAGCCAACAACATACAGATCCCATGCCAAAATAAGCTTTACAAGTATGCAAAAAGAAAAATAAACCAAGGGCTGGATCAGGCAAAACCGAG